GACTCTGTGGTCTCGAACTACGGGTAGAAAGCGTGGTAGTGCTAAGTACACTGCTCTCAGTTCGAGCCGGTTGATATGGTAGTCCCGAAACTAATGCGGGGGCCATATCCTTGGGCTTGTTGGCCCAATAGATGCGCTCCCCAACCCTAGGGGGAGGTATCTGTTACCAGTCATACCTGCGGAGAGCGGGCCCAAGGGGCTCCCCTGTCCAAAGTTGGCCAGTGACGACCACCAGGGCAGGGCTTCCTTCACTTGGCCAAGAGAGCCAGGCTGGTGCGTTCTGCCTCCAAGGTCTCCAGAGTGCTGGTCACGCATAATAATGTGCTCAAGCAACTCTGCCCTCAGGGCTGGATGGGTCGTCTTCAATTGGCAAAGACACCCATGGAACGCGGCTATCCCCCTTTGCCAGTTTGCCAAATTCGTGGTACCGGGGTCTGGGGAAGGAGCCTTGGAATCTGGTTGGGGGTGTTTTGGTCTCATCCACGCTATGGGGTCTGATCCCGAAACCACACCGACCAAGTAGCGTTTGGTCCAGTGGGAAGTGTTGCCTAATGTTATCCCCACCCGGGGGCCTTAAGCATTACATCCTGCGCGGCTGACCAATGCCGCCCATCAACACTGTTTGCGTGCACTGCGCCCCACTCCGCACTCAGGCCAACAGGGAGAGACTTGCCGACGGGGTAGCTTTGGATCCCGACGCCTGTGATCCAATAAGCGTTGAAGCAACCTTAGGTGGTCGCTCTAGGATAAAGGGTGGGGGTATATACATCGTATCACTGGGATCGATGATACTCCGCCTCACCCCAAAAGCGTGGCTCACCGAGTCATATAGATGGAAGACTCTGAGGAACCGCCCGGAGTACCGGCTGTATCCGACGCGAGCGAAGCATCTCCTTTCACTTTAAATATGTGAGAGGGAGCGTGTTCGACTGTGTCTCATGACAGGGTCGGTTCCCTCTGGGGACGCCCGTGGGTCGGAAGAAAGGAGTCAAAACCCACAGCAGGGACCGGCCACAAGGAAAAAATCATTACCGTTGTACCGTTACCGCGTGACGAACCCTAGCTGGCTGAAAGTAGGGGGGGTCAACGTGTGCCCTGCCCTGAAAGCCCTGCCCCGAGATCGGAGACTTGGCTGCCAGCACCCTGTTGGCCTTCAGTCCCCGAGGATCCAGAGAAGGACCGGTGCAACTAGCCTGAGCCTCGGCCACCCCAAAATAGTGGGAGAGCTGAGCCTGGGAACGGGGGTTCCTCGGAAGAGACGTGTTTGAATGCAAACATGCTTTCGTGTCTCTTCCTGCTTGCCCACCAAGGGGACACAGTGGAGACAGCTCGCTCCGATTGCGTCTGATCTACCTGGCCTGCCAGGGACGCAATTGCCCCGACAGTCCTTCGACCAAAGCCCTCAACTCTGAGGCAAACCCGGCGCCGTGCGAGGAAGGGTCCACAAAGAGACCCGCAGCGGGCCCCATAGGACGAAAGTCTCCAGGGGCACAGCCTCACTGCAGCCGGTAAAATCGGGTAAAACACTGCCTGAAAAAACAGACTGTGAGGATGCTCTCCGATCAGCGGGGGAGACCGAGAAAAATATCGATACCTCCGCCGTCGTGCCTTTTACTCGACGTCCTGGTACATGAAGTACCGGTAGCCGAGCGTGAGGACTTTCCACTCATGCCAAACTCGCAACTCACATTAACCGATCTGTTTACTGGACGCTCTGAAAGAAAATCTCAGGCCTCAGAACCCCAGTGAAAAAACACGCTTTTACGCGAAAACCCCGAAACCCGCACGTAGCTACGACAAAGTATCTCGGATGCGGGTTCTATGCTGGTAAATTCTGAATATAACCACTGCACGGTCGACTCGAAACACGAGGAGACCGGAAAGAAAACGGCAGCGAGCCCTGGTGTTGTCATTACATCTATATATTGCTAAATACATTGAAAATAAAAGACGACATGCATGAGGGAAACGAATTACAGTTGTAAAAGGTGCCGCCATGAAAACCAACTGGTTACGTAGTGGCGCCGGATTTTGATTTTTTTGCTGTGAAAAATACTACACACAAAGGGGAAAACGACACGAGGGTAAAAATGACAAGGAAAACTTATCCTACCAGCTACAATGTCGGATGCCGAGCAGCGGCAACAACCCAAGCCATAAATCCGGACAGGAAAAAAGGCAGGCGATCCAGCAGAGCTCGAGGCGGAGAGAAAATAAGAGTGATGGACGGCTACCTGTGGCGCTGCCTGGTGGCCTCGGTCACGTGGGTTCGTGACGTAAGGGTAAAAGAATCTTGAGGTCATGGGGCTTCCCCTGACCTGGATTCTATCTCTCCGTCACCGGCAGAATCGCTGATTAATGCCTACAGTTCAAAATAGTCATTTTGACTGACCGGAGTCTATGGTGGGTAATTGAACGTAGTGAATTGTGCATTGACTTCTCTAGTGGTTTATTATTATGTATGTTATATCACTAATTTGACGTGCTGTTCCCAACGTCGTTTAGACACACTGTAATCATGGCACTGTCAATGACCGTCCCCTATGATTTCGCATCTCCTATAGTGTCAGTACTCGAATTCTGCAATTATTACATTTCATTTTTGATTTAAACTATGGTTTAACGGATTGCTGGAAGTCATACTCACCTTATGTCTAAACTTATCATCATACAAACAGGCCTTACTGCAATACTTCGCCATGTGACAACGAGTGCACGTGACTCTTTCCGCATTACCACAGCGCCAACACGTACCAATTTTAGCGTCCATAGTCTATCATAATAATTAAAAATAATTATAATTTAATACTCAATTTAATCAAGTTTATTAAAATCTCTGAGAAAATAGTAGAATAACCATGCAATTTTTTTTAAATTTCGTTTTTCTGCTATTTTTAATAATTCATTTTTTTTCACACTGAGAGAAATATTTTTGCCCTAAATTTAGGCGTGGTCAATTGCTTTAGTACTTGGTATATAGGATCCATGGGTTAACTTCCATGAGAATTGTAACAACATAGCAATTGCAATTTACATGAAAACAGCAAAATGAACTTTCATGGTTCTGAAATGGCAAGAACGTTGTAGGCATGGTAAATAGTTAAAATTTTCCTGTGCATTTTTTTCTTGTTTCTGCTACCCCTCCGCTAGTGTTCCAAAAAAATGGTCAACCCCTAACCTGTAACTCGATTTCTCTTTATGTTGATGACACGTCACTTCGAATATTAGTACAAGTTACAATTATTACAGTGTTCGTAACAATTGTGTTCATTTTAAATCCACGTGCACCCCACATTTCACAGCATAACTAGTCTACGAATTGAAGGCGTGACGAATATCGCTAACAAGTGTTAGTTCTCAGCGTCGGTCTGGCTATCCCGCTGTATGAGTGATATCGAACGCAACTGTCACCTAACTTCTGATTTCACAATCTTTTCGACATGAATCACACCGAGTGCTGCAAAATGCACTCACTGCTGACTGAACAATTCTAACTCGCATGTAACAAAGTGTTTTTTCATAGATACGCTGTGCAATATTTGAACCCGGAAGTCCAAACCTTACAAGTAAAATAGTCTATAGTCATATATACGATTTTATAAAATCAAAGAATATTCAATAACTTGTCTTACCTTAGTATCAATATAAATATCTGTAGGTTGTGTTTAGGGTGTCGGTGCGGTTGTTTGAGTGACAGTCGTTGAGTGGTGTCAACACAATAGGCGAGTCCGTCGTACTCGGAATATCAGTTAGTTACGTGGAAATCATGCGTCAAAGACATGCGCAATATAGTCAATCCGTAGCATTAGCCGTGTAACAATAACCAGTACTGGGAACTTGTGTCTCGTTTATATACATTAGTGACAACTTTGGCATCATAGTTTAAATACCGAGAAATCTTGGCTCAGCGCATTTACTGACAACACATTAACGCTAAACTAGGAAAAAGTATGTCATTGACATGCGCATTAGTGTGCGTACTGTGTAATGTGTACAACAAGTTGTATTTATTTTGTGAAAACAAAATTCAAATTTGTTTCAAAACTGTAAATATGAGGTAGGATTATCAATTTGATAAAAATTAGAAGCAGATTATTCTTTGGTAAATGAATATTTTGATAAGAAATCCTAAATATATCAACAATACCCATTGTGACACACGTTGTTCTATAACTACCACACAATTTGTCTGATGCATCACTATAATGCAGAAATAATTTAAATAAATTACGTATCGTTTACCTGTTACGGAAATGCTATGCGGCCGTCTGTGAAGTACTGATATCTAAATAGATGGACGACGAGGTATTTCACTTTGTACGAGGATCATGCATAGTTGCTACAGACTTTGTTTTGGCTGTAAATTTTGTTTCGCCATTCTAATTTAAATTTAATCTAACTCTCCAAAAAATAAATAACATTTGCAGAAACTTCAATTATATTGCTAAAAGGTAATGTATAACATGTAGGAAATAAAATGCGATTTTCAATGATAAAATCGAATTTGAATATCAGTGTCAATGTACTCGGGTCTCGTCCGTACGGAAGGTACATTACAATAAGCACCGGAATTACCATAGTCCCAAGAAAAAAAGAATGGCACCAGTTGGGAGACCATATATCATAGATTCATATTTAAATGCTGATGGCAATATAAGTTGAATAGTGGTACTCCAGAAACGTTTATACTAACGAAGTGACGTTTTGTCCCAAAGCCTTTGCCCCTTCACACCATTCTCGAAGTGAAACACGGTGATACAAGGGAGCACGGTTAACGTGATATATCACACAACTTGTGGGTTATCAGATCAGATTGATTGTACAAGAGTATAAATCCGTGGTATGCATTCTCATTTATTTATAAATGTTACCAAATGCTTTTGTTGAAACATTGAAGCCGTGACCACAATGACGATTCGATGAGTTGACTTACGTACACGTGTTTTGTTTACATTATATACTTTTAGTATTGAACACATTGCGAAACTTTTCCCACGTGTAGTCGACTGCAATGTTACCGTCACTAAAATAATTTAGTTACAGTAGCGACACCCCGTACCCCGTTCGCACATTTGGTTCCCACACCGTTGTACTATTGTTTAGAATCAACAACTTGCATGTTTAGGGTGGATATTATATATAATCACAGTAGTCGCAACTTTGCAAAGCTTTAACCGCGAGACACTTTCCTAGTAATCACGCGATTGTGCCAACGACTGCAGCGATTGCATGATCGCCAATCGCCTTGACCTTTAAGATAGAGAGGTTGTAACCTTTCGTATGGGAGAGAAATGGGTGAATAAAGCTGGACTATTTGTATATAACTAATGTGTATTCCTTTGGGTCGAGTCTGGTATCTCTACGTGTAAGCGCTAACAGTCAAGTTAGACCTAGATCCCCGAACACGAAACTCTTGTTCATAACAAGTAACCGAACAACTTATCTGGTCAGCCCTGTAATTCACAATCCGAAAGCAAGCGCAATTCAACTTTGAAGTGCACTTTTCTAAGAAATACTGACAAAAAACCGGAATGTCAAGAAACGTATTTCTTTCAATATAAAAATCATGTTGTGTGCACACACCATTGTACACCTAAAAATACTAATCACTTACGTGGAAATCGCGTGTCACAGTGTCAATTCGCCCATGATCAACTGACTACTGAGAAATCGTATCAAGGTTATTTGCATTGGTGACAACTCATCATGGGCCAAAAGCTTGAAAACCGGAACAAAAAAAAATCTGTCATCATAATTATATGCACAATCAACACTTTTCATCGAATCCATGGTGTGTCACACGCATTACCCATACAGTGAAACATTGTGTACTTCTGTCGAGATTAACACAACTAGGGACAATCTATTATTGGAGGCGAGAACATAACAAGATCCTACATGGTTTTCAGAGTTAATTGCCCATCCTTATAAATGACCTAGCTAATATAGAAGTTGTAGTTTTAAATAACAACAAGCAAAGAACCCAATTACAGATTTGAAATGAGGATAAATTCCAAATATCAAGTGCAATGTAATAAGGATAAAAACACGACCGACATTTTACGGCCCTCCGACTACACACCATATCCAAACCCCGAATGCCGCGAGTAGGCAGCATATGTACTTCTATTTTGACGGGTGTCAAACCCTTAATTCCCCTGATACCAAGTGGACACGCTAACTATCGAGCTACGCGTCAGATACGTATATCGTTTTACTACTAAGACATGAGTCATCGTCTGTGACGTACGACTGTAAACATAGCATCGGGGTCACAAGGTAACGCATGCACAGACAATGCAAACAAAGAAAAACATCTCTCAGTCTGGGTAATTTTTGAATTAATTGTTATAGATAGCTTGGGACGACCATGATTCGTGCAATACAATTAGTCGCTGTTCACTATATGTAATTTTGTTTATTGGCGCAGTGAGTGAGTGTGGCATGGTAGGAAGCGGGTCGACTTGCACTAATGCAGTCAACATGGGCGGTCTCAACCTCAGTGATCTAAAAACAAAAAGAAACGCTTTTAGACTAAAACGGATACAAAATTGTTAGATACAACTTTTAATCACAAGCTCAAATACATGATGTTATACTTTATTAATAAGCATTGCTGTCTTAATTTGGGGACAGATACATTTAAAATAGAAATTGATCCCCGGAGAATATTGCATGTACCAAGTTTTTACAATGAGTTGTTAATGTCCGGGAGCCAAATCTCACCAGTACTGGACACTACACCACAGACATTTACAACCAGCCTTTATTCTGTAACAAACTCGTTCTTAGAAATGGTAAGCCATTGTTCATAGATGCTGGCATTTGCGCCAAGTCAAAGACCTATTATAAAAGGTAGTTACAGGTGTCCTTTCCCGACATGCCATTGCTGAAATACTGAGTAATGTGCCTGAACCACAGGCTCGTACAAATAAATGACGCGATATTAACCATTACTAGTCTCAGCACGAAACAATTAACGCAACTCTTAAGTTCCATACAGAAAATCGATCCAGTATGCATGGCATATTGGGGGCGGCTATTTCTCTGATTTGGACTCCAATGCAATTTGGAGTAGAATTTATGGCGGAATTAAACACAATTTTTTAGGCGATATTGACTACCAAATTGTTTATAATGCCGTTTTCACAAACGATATTATACACAAGATAGACCCAGCTGTTAGCAACATCTGTGACTTTTGCCATGTTCATATAGAAAATACTATACATATGTACACTTTGCAGTACAGTCAAACCGCTCTGGGACTTTGTCTTCAGCCTTATATCTAAGATTTTAAACGGGTCTCCAGTGCGCAATACTGACAAGCCTGTGTGCATGATATTTGGATATTACGAGCACACTGAGAGAGATAAAGAGAAACTGATTAATTATTTACTTTCAGTAGCACGTTTTATTTTAATACATCGCCGCAGGTTATATAAAAATGAAAAACAACACATATTATTATTGTTCTCACAAGTAAAATTGCAATGGATTTTAATATTTGCAATTACCGCAATACTGTATATTTATTGAAAGAACGTTAACTTCGTCTTGTAAATGTAACTAGTGATAATTATGAGTCACTATTTTAAAGTCAAAAGATATTTATAAGCTGTTAATTACATTTTATATCGCAACTCGTAATGAGTGCATATTTTAGACAGAGAAATGTAAACTTTATAATTGTATGATTATTTCCCGCTAATAAGGCGAGCCAGTGGGCATCGTCTTTTAATAAAAGAAAGAAAAACTGCTTGTGGTAGCGGGTTGATTGCCGATATCTCGAGTTCAAATCATCTGGTTCATGTTATTTGCTTGTTTACATGTTATATTGACAATGCAATAAAACTTGTTCACTTGCATCAATGGTTATTGCTAAATTTAATAAAACGTTTTTACTCTAATCAATGGTTGTGGCTACAATTCGATAAAACTTGTTTACTTTGACCAAGAGTTTGTAGTTGCATTGAATGCGAATAGGACACACACAACACAGTACAGTTCAAATTAAATAGAAACTTCTTGTATTGAAAGCTAAACGTATACATTTCAAATAGAACAGCCTAAACACAAATATTACCATAACAAAAGATAACATCTGTGAACTTGTATTGACCACGCCAGTGTTTTAGGGTCATGTGCACTTCATTTTCATTCCGGTTTTCGCACAATTTGAACTGTAATTGATCCACAAAAATTACGATTTCAAAATAAACCGAATGTACGACTCATCATACTACTTGTAGCTGTGAATATTTGACGTTTAGCTCACATGGTCCTGACGATCTGTGTAGATAAAACAATCTCCAAAATACCGCTACTGGATTGGGCTTAGATACATTACGAAACGACCTAAAATGACCACAACAAATCGAGAAACTCCAATTACCGATGATGGCGCTGTTCTCATCTGGATTCTCGCTGTCCAGAATTACAGAAAAATAAAATTACACAGAATAATTAATTATTTAAATAAACAAACAGACAGATAAGCAAAAAATAAAAAAATAAATCAATAAAAAACACAAAATTTATTATTTTCTTTAATGCATACATGTCGTCGTCGCAACATAGAACGTTTGTGACGTACCTCAGCCCCGAGAATATGGCTACTGCGTCCGTCTGTCTATCTGTGGACGACTTCTCAAAACCTCTATATATAGTCTTAA